AAAAAAAAATTAATAAATAGCATATATATATATATAAACAAATTAATTATTTTTTGTTTCCAGTGAAAGAACATATGTTACAAGATTATTAAAAGAAGGAGAATTAACGGTATGATTTTTGTTTTTAAAATGGATTTGATTAAATTGCGAAATTTGTGGTCAGAATTTTGTGCCCCCTACTTAAAAAGTCAAATTCAAAAATAAATCTTAAGACTAAAAAAGTCTTAAAGGCTCTGACTTAAATCGCAATACAGATATATTCTTCCTAAAGAGAGATGAGCTTTAGCTGCCACTTTTGAATTTGCAGTGGGGGAGGGGGCAATTGGAGGATATCATGTAAGCCTTTCTAGGCATCCGAATGTTACTCCAGCTGTTGCATTCATTAAGGAGATAACTGGATTCGAATGGGAGTATGGGTTTGAATGGGAGTATTGGTTAGTATGCTGAAACTTACGAGAGTCCATTACCATTTCATCTATTCTCTCCCTAAGAAGTTTCAAATTGGACTGACCGCAACCCAAATAGCAAAATAAGGTTTCAAAAATGGTTTGTTATGCGGTTTACGTGTAAACCTTCTAAACTTAAAACGAGATCCGTGACAATCTGCTCTATTCTACGCACGTTACCCTAATTCAAAACCTTGGAAAATAACCCTCAATATAATAACCTTATATCGAGGTTGACTTAGGGTTTTCAAGCGATCCTTTAATAAAGCTAGTGCCAAGGAGAAAATAATCTTGAATCTACGTAATTATAAGGTTTCTTTTCGCAAAGTCTTGTATGCTCAGCTGAAATCCACCTTGTCTTGGAATTTTAATGGACGATGCAATTTGATCTTATCTCTAAAGTAAAAATTCAAATTCATCACCATCAAGACAGACGCCCAGATATCAAAATAAGGTTTATTTTCCCTTAGCAAAAACCTTTTAACGTAAACCTAAAAAGGTTTTTGTAAGGTTTACGTGTAAGCCTTCCAAACTTAAAACGAGATCTGTGACAAAAAGCTCTATTCTACTGACATTACTCTAATCCAAAACCTTGTAAAACAACCTTCTATATAAAAACCTTGAATAGAGGTTGTGTTAGGGTGAAAATAATCTGAATAATCTTAATCTGAATAAGGTTTCTTTCCACAAAGTCTTGTATGCTCAGCTGAAATCCGCCTTGTCACGAAATTTTTACGGACAATGCAATTTGATCCTATCGATAGTGTGACGTCAGCTAAAACGTCATTATGGACTTAAGTTACCATTTTATCTAAGAGTCAGTACTTTCAAAAAAGCTTTAAAAATAGTTTTTGATCCTTTAAGGATGAAAGGTTTAAAACTGCAATATTTTTGCTTTTATTGTAATAATAAGGTTTTTGCTTTTACTTGCTTTTATTGTAATAATAATATTGTAATAATAATATTGCAAAAGAGCATTCCCTCTGCAGAGGATCAGATTTGTAATCGCATGGCATCGAATCTTCCTTAGGGATGTTTCTCAATTCAGTCTATTCATCATATATATGCAGTAATTCTCAACGAAATAGCAAATTTTCAATACGTCTACTTGTGTTTTAGTGACATCTATTGGTGAAAATTTGTACGTTTTGTAAGTTTTTTATTTTACGTACGTTTTGTAAAATTTGTAAGTTTTTTATTTTTGTTAAATGCATCGTTTGAATTTTTTTTCATTCAAATTTTAACTCATTCGAACCAATAGAATGATTCTCTAAGAAAACTCTAAAAAAGGAAAAGGAATTTTTTGCAAACTTTGTATTTTTGACTGGTGTTTACTCATATTTTGGTGAGGTACCACCCAGCTGTCCATTTCTCCCTAAATGAAGAGCTTTAGCTCATCTTGTTTGCTTAAATTTGTTCAAAAATTAGACTATTAGTAACATCAGTGTTTAAATAACGTTTACTTTTTTTTCCATTTTTAGTGTGATTCATCAACAAATGACTCTTTGACAAATTTTGAAGAATCTCAGTTTTGCACGTAAGTTCTTTTAAGTGCATTAAATAAACATTTTACTTGAAGAAATGTTTTACTAGTAATTTTGCGAATTTGAAAAAAGGCACTTTAGAAAGATAAAAAAAAAAGTTTTTACTTTAAGAAATTGCCTTTGAAATTTTTGATAGAAAATATATTAATTTTCTTTCATATAGAATTTGCGCGGAAGTAATGTCACTGGTTTTGTTGTGAAACGTACGCAAGAGAACGTGCTCTGATAAGTGTGGTCTTTGAGTCGACTGCGACTGTTCGCAGACTAAGGACACTAACTTTTTTTTAAGCTCATTTTTCTCTTCTTTGCAACTGCAATGTAACACTCGATGTATTGCTGAGTCAACTGCAACTGTCCGGTGGCTAAGGACACTGATATTTGTTAAACTCTTTTTTTCTATTATTTGCAAACTACAAGGCAACGCTCGATTTATTGCTGTGTCAACTGCGATTATCCGCAAAATAAAAGCATTGATTTTTTTAAAACTCATTTTCCTCTTTTTTCCGCACTTCTTTGCAACGCTCAATGTATTGCCATTAAGTTTTGTGGGAAACTTGGTCAGTTCGCAATTAAAAAAAAATTCTGTATGAAAGAGGACCTTTAAATATGATTCTTTATCAGAATACCAAGTATTCTGGTAACACAAAGTATTTTTTGAAGATCGTACAGAGGTCAGTGATAAAACCCATACTGTCAGGCATATAACTGACATAAGTATGACCCAACTGCTTAACTCTGGCATTCCAAAAAGTACCATTCTAATATCGCAGACTATTGAAAGTCTCACCTTTCATCATCTTCTTCCGCTTTCTAATCGACCCGAAGTTGACGATTCCTCAGTCTTCATGAACTCCTGACCTTGCTCCTCCAGACTTTTCCTGTTCCCGTGCTGAATTCCGAACATAAAAAGATATTATTCTATATCAATTGTCAATTCAAAGAGACTTACACATAAGCGTTTAAGCCGCAAAGCTGTAGATCGCATTTTGTCTGGTCAATCCAATAAAGTCTTAGTCACTTTGATCTTCTGGCTCTTCTAGAGAATTTTCCTGTTCCCATGCCTCAAAGATTGTATGAAATGGCATAGCTTCATGTCGATTGGCAAATCAAAGAGATTTACACCAAAGTTCTTTAAAGTGCATTTCGAAACAACTCTACGTGCCCAATACTCTGTTGCTGGAAAATCTTATTGGAAGTGATTTTATGACGCATAAGAAAACCATTTTGGAACTTTTCAAAGAGTTGTACGAATCTCATCAATAAATGTTTTTAACAAACTCCCTAACGCTAGTTTTTGGAGAGAAAAAACTGTTCCTAAAGACAACCGCAACTTTCCTCAGACTTAGCTGAAACTTTGATTTCTTCATTTTAAAGCCGTTATATAGCGTATGTTACATTTATAACACTCATTTACTTATCTTACTTATTTTTACCATAAACTTACCTATGGTGTAGCTTTTAATTCTAGAGGAATATTTCCGACAATTACTTGACTGAGGGCCGAAAAAGCCTGGTTGGTAGGGCACTGAACCCAAATCTAAGTGTTCGTGGGTTCGATCCCGACCGGCCGTGTAGTAAGTGGTGACTGGTGCAAGTTAAATCTGTTGAGTCGCAAAGTCCTTCATGTTCCCATAACAAATCAATACCTCTGGGGGTACTGATCCAAAAGTTTCCTTGTCTTCTGGATTGATTCAAAATTACAAGGCTACGGAGTTGACCATTAGTAGTCGTAAACCCAAAATTGGGTCGGCTGTTCAACGACGGATATAAAATAAAATAAAATTACTTGACTGAGGATTAGATCGTATCTTACAATAAAAATTAAAAATTTTTAATGTTTCTACTGCTATTCATGCATTCATATGGTTATTATAATAGCCAATTAACAGATCTCAAAGAATCAGATGTTTTTTATCGGAATGTCAAGGCAAATGTTTTAGAAGCATTTGTATTTTTTTTATAGGTATAACAACATATCTTTGACACTATTGTTCAATCAATTTATGCTGTCCAAAATTGTTTCTGTGCCAAGAATTCAGGTATCTTAAGTCATAAACTTATTTTCTTTCTTAATTTACATTAAATGCAGTGAATAAAATTGTGTAAAGAACCAATTTATGTGTATGTTATAAGACTCAATCGTTTATATGGGTGATTCTCATGAAATATGACAATTCACTGTCCCTTGTTTCTAGATCTAATACTATAATACTAAAAGAACTTTTTTTAAAAAAAAAATTAATAAATAGCATTGCTGTTAGCATTTTAAATTGACTTTGCATGAACATTGACTGTTTAAATAGTTAAAAAATTTTATTGAACTTCAAAATGTCATTTTCCTGGTATGCCCCAAACAAAGTTTCCAATAATAACTAGCTTCAAAACTTGACATAAATTTTTCAATATCTAATTTCTTTTATCTCAACCGGTGCAAGCATTTCTAGAATATACGCGGAGGATATTATTTACAAAAACTTCTTTTAAAATAATTTTTCCTGGCATTCAAGATTTGGTGAATTTCTATTTCATTTTATTTTTTTCTCGAGCAAATGTCAATAAACTACACTGCTGCCTGTAAGATATTAATAAGTGTAACGGAAGAAGTATACAAAAAAATTTTTTGATTATTTTGAAGACTAAATTTGAAGAAATTTTTTGATCCGAATTGTTATGTTTAGAAAGAATCACCCATATGAGTATTTTATAAGATTTAAGTAGATTTTTATTTTAGATTAAGTTTTAAAAATTCTCAAAAACTTCTTTTCTTTCGTTTAAAAGTTTTACAAATATTCATTAATTGTTTGGAGTTAATAGTAGTTTCTTTTTTTTCTTTTGAAGGAAATTAAAGTGCCTTAAGGCGTTTCAAAAATAAATATTGATATCAAATTTTTTTTTTAAATTATAAAATTTTAAACCAAACTTAAAAGCTAGTTTTTTTTTTAAAAAAATTGGCAAATAATTCGGAGTTGACATTTTTTATTTTGTTAAGAGATTTAGAATATGTTCTTTATGTATACAGTATATCATATATTATGTATATAGTAGATAATAATATAGTAATAGTAGGTAGTTATTCCAATATATTTTTTAAGCAATCGACTGATAGCAATATTTAACAA